GCTTTGATGAAACCGATTCTGTTTCAAAGAAACAAAAAGATGTGAGCAGTGTTAAATGGGCTTTTCAAAGGCCCAAAATGGTTGCAGTCTAGTAAAATTGGAAAGCAATGGTCCCCAAGGGCCCAGCCTCAAAAAGGAAAGGGTGAAAAAGACATTTCACAGTAAAGGCAATAATACCATCCACAAACCAAAAATTCCTGCAACTAGAAAAGCAAAAGAGCCAAAAGTGGCATAACGTGTGGATCTCTTTTACACAGTCTCCACTCTTCGTCGTCTTCTTCCTCTCGACATGTTCGACCAAATCTCACCTTCACTGGTCACTCTCTACTCCCTTTTTTCCCGGAGCTATTTCCACCGAGATCCATGTCTCTTCTGATCAGATCCTCCCACGTTTCTTCTCACTTCAATCTCTTCCAACCTAGAAACTCAAAATCACCCTCTCGAATCTCGTCCAGATTAGTGTTCGTATCTTCTTTCAATCACAACCCGTTAATCAAATTGGTGTATAAACGCAACCCAACAATGCAATCTGTCTCTATGTATTCTTCGATGACTGTTAAGAGCTCATTGATTGATCCAGACGGTGGGGAATTGGTGGAATTAGTGGTACCGGAATCGGAGATTGGGTCGAAGAAAGCGGAATCAGAGGCGATGCCGAAAGTGAAGCTGACGAAGATTGATCTGGAGTGGGTACACGTGATTAGCGAAGGTTGGGCTAGTCCTTTAAAAGGGTTCATGAGAGAAGACGAGTATCTGCAAAGTTTGCATTTCAATTCTCTTAGGTTAAAAGATGGTACTCTTGTCAACATGTCGCTTCCTATTGTTCTTGCCATTGATGATGAGACCAAAGAACAGATCGGATTATCCCAGAATGTTGCTCTTGTTAGCCCTCAAGGAGCTATAATCGGTTCTCTACGAAGGTAAAATGGTAACATCTTGATGATAATGAAGCATTGGAAGCATTGAATTGACATTGTTGCTGGCTTTGTTGGTTTGTGACTCTATTCTTAATGTCATTGATTGTTTTTTTGTGAATCTTTGCTTGAAAATTGTAGTGTAGAGGTATACAAACACAACAAGGAAGAAAGGATTGCTCGAACTTGGGGAACAACTTCTCCAGGATTGCCTTATGTGGAAGAACACATTACTCCATCTGGAAACTGGCTGATTGGTGGTGATTTAGAAGTTTTCCAGCCGATTATGTATAACGACGGGCTTGATCATTACAGGCTTTCTCCTAAACAGCTTAGGAAAGAATTCGATAATCGTCAAGCGGATGCTGTTTTTGCGTTTCAGTTAAGGAACCCTGTGCACAATGGCCATGCTCTGTTGATGAATGATACCCGAAAAAGGCTTTTGGAAATGGGTTATAAGAATCCTATTCTCTTGCTTCACCCTTTAGGAGGTTTCACAAAAGCTGATGATGTTCCCCTTGATGTTCGAATGGAACAACATAGCAAGGTGGGAAAAATCTCGGCGTTATAAATCATTTGTCATACTGATTGATTTACTCGTTTAAATTTTTTTTCAAAGATTTGATTTGGTCTATGATGTATAGGTTCTTGAAGATGGAGTTCTTGACCCGAAGACTACTATTGTCTCGATATTTCCATCACCGATGCACTATGCTGGTCCAACTGAAGTTCAATGGCACGCCAAGGCTAGGATTAACGCTGGTGCTAATTTCTACATTGTAGGTCGTGATCCTGCAGGAATGGGACATCCTACTGAGAAGAGAGATCTATATGATCCTGATCATGGAAAGAGAGTCTTAAGCATGGCCCCTGGACTTGAGAAACTAAATATTCTTCCATTTAGGGTAAAGCAAAAACTGAAGTTCATTGATTTACCAGTACATGCTGTTACATTTTCCAATCATGTGTTCTTTGTCTTTGATTTGTATCTTTCAGGTTGCAGCTTACGACACAATAGAGAAGAAGATGGCGTTTTTCGATCCCTCTCGTGCAAAAGAATTTCTTTTCATTTCTGGAACAAAGGTAAGAGACAGTTTTGAGTCTTATAGATTCTTTTTAAAGGATCCAATTTTCAAGATTTTGGTTCATCGCGATTACACCTGAGTTGTTTTTCGGTTTTCTTGTCTTGCTTACAGATGCGAACATATGCAAGAACAGGGGAGAATCCTCCAGATGGGTTTATGTGTCCGACTGGATGGAATGTTCTTGTCAAATACTATAAGAGCTTGCAAGAAAGTGAAGAATCATCGAAACAACAAGCCGTTGTTTCAGCTTAAAGAATCTAGTTGCATCTCGTTCAGATTTGAAGCTCGTTCATGACGACTATGAAGGCTTTTCTTTTCACTTTACGTTGTATTGCTTAAAGTAGTATCCTTGGAGACATGTTTTTGTCTCATGGAACTCACAAATGTTTTCAAAACTCAGAAACCAAATAATGTTCTTGCTGATGAGAGAAGTTGATTAATTTTAACGTCAGATTCGTTAAATCTTTCTCAGATTTGGGTCTCTGTTTCTTTGCCAATACTGATTTCAATTATTTTTGGCCACCAAAAAGTTTAGACTACAGCAGATTTGTGATTAAGGCATGCGCAAGTTGCAATAGATACGCCAATCCAATTTGAAAAACATGTCATTGAAATCACAATCCATTATCCAAATTTTTTACGTTGTGTCCAAATGTTTCTCTAAGCTGTGACCTACACAAATTCTTAGATTCATACCCACACAACAAAAAAAAGTCATTGTTTTTCAGGAGCTTGAAAATCATCAAATGGTCGGAGTTTATTACTTACTGATGTATAGTGGGCAAATGAAAAAGAAAATGGTTTTGGAACCAAAGTAAAATGATTTTCACCCATGTTGCTTGTTTTCATGAGAAACTCAAAAACTCACAAAAGAAAACTGAAAATAGATCATATCAAAACATTACAAGGATTTAGCCCACATGAAAAGACTTTTCTGATTTTCACTCGGCTCTAGATTGACCAGCTCGAGAAGAGAGGATGATACCGACAATGAGACCGTATAGCGCAAGTGCTTCAGCAAAGATGAGAATCAGAATCATTCCCACAAACAGCTTTGGTTGTTGTGCATTCGCTCTGCAAAACACAAAGATCACACACAAGATTACATACAAAGACAAACATCTCTCTAAGTCGAATGAGATACAAACATATCATAACAATATCATGAGCAGTAACTATCATATATATACTTAGTCTCACACATTCATCATAAAGTTTCAATCATTCCAGCTCTTAACAACAACTAACACACCAATTTCTAACACCAAAGTCAAGATATTGACATAGCAGAATCAAGAAAAATTCATTGCAGGGCAATGACACATGTAAAGAATACTCTCATGATATAGAATCAACCCAAAACACCATTTCTGTTAAACTTCATCAAAGGATCATAAAATTGTGTCATTTGACAGAGAATTAAGTCAAGCCTAAGCCTATTTTCTAAAATGTTCAACACCTTAGAACAATTGAATTAGCCTATAGATCATATCGTGAAAAATCAAACAAAGAATTAAGAGAAAAGGGAATTTGTTTTTCACCTAACACCAGCATCACCGACGATTCCAATAGCCATACCGGCGGAGAGACCGGCGAGACCACAAGCCAGACCGGAAGAGAGATGAGCATAGCCATCGAATAGATAATAAGACTTGGCCTTAGGATTGATTCCAGTACTGATGATAACAGCGATGATCAAACCATAAATACCTAAAACACCAGCCATAACCACAGGAACAATCGATTTCATCACAAGCTCTGGTCTCATCACACCCATTGACGCTACACCAACCCCACTCTTCGCTGTCCCGTACGCTGCTCCCATACCTGAATAAAAACGTGAAAATTCGATCGGATTCAAATCGGTGATTGAATTTCAGGGGAAGAAAAAAAGAGAGATCAGCGAATTGGTGATGTTACAGGAGAAAACGAGAGCGGCGGCAGCGCCGAGGAATCCGAAGAAAGGAGCAGTTTCATCGCCGCTGAAACTTGAAGCCATGGCTAGTCGTCGTCGTCTCCGATGAGATCTGATCGCAAAGAGACAAAATCGTTGAAGATTTTTTTGGAC